GCCTTGTATGTCAGCCTATTGAACCAAATGCTCCGAGTGGAATCCCTCAAGCTAACCATGTACCCCACTGCCTTGTGAGTCAGATTGTTGAGCCAGAAGCAGGGCACTTCGAACAAAACCCTCACTCGGAATGGGCAGCCGGAGATTAACATCTGCTCTCTCTCTACCACACTGACAGGACTCCCTCTTCTTGTTTTTCGCTCTCCTTTCCGCCTCTTCTTCCCCCTATATTGAGCAAGAATCTGCCGCTGACTTCGCAGCTGCTGCCATCGATACATGTATCCCTTCCATCAGATCTAGAATTTCATTTCACATTGGTTATTTTAACGTCCGCACTCTAGGGCAGATCGGCCAACAGGCAGCACGGACTTACACTTCACTCTCTGGGTATTGATGTGTGCTATGTCTCTGAAACACGCATACATGATAACCGCGTTGTGACAAATCCTTGACTCCATGATTCTCAATCTCACAACGAAGGGTACAATCTTTGCGTCTGACGATACTGAGTCAATAGCTCAGAGTATTTATGATGTTGGTATTGCCCTCGGCAGACCTGCTGAAGGTAATCCACTCGACTGGATACCGGTGAACAGCCGCAGATGTGCGGTTTGACTTCGAACCTCTATTGGAGCTAATAAGCAGCGTCTGAAAACAAGGTGCATTTTCATCGCCTCAGTTTATGTCCCTACTGTATGTAGTTCAGAGGGTATCAAAAACGATTTCTATCAACAGTTCCCATCTTTTCTTGGCATGGTAGAACATACTGACATCTTGATTGTTGCTGGTGACATGAATGCCCAAGTGGGTCGTCTTTCAGACTATGAACAACATCTGGGTGGCCGCTTCGGAGTCGATGCACACCAAACAGCCAATGGTGATCGATTCCTGCAACTGTGCGCTGACCACAACCTTTACCTCAGCGGAACTGCTTTCCAGCACAAATGTTCACACCGCGTCACCTGGCACCCACTGAATTCCTCAAGGCCCTGGACCCAAATTGACCATATTACCATCAGCTACAGATGATGCACATCAGTCCATGTGTGTCGGTCCATTTGAAGCATGTGCCTTGGTTCTAACCATGCTCTAGTGTACGCTCACTTTGCTCTCATCTTCCTTCTTCAAACAAGCATCTATCTTTCAACCTTCCTACCTGTAACTTGAACTCACGCTCTGAAGTTCAACAATATCATGATGAACTGGTCCACCAAATCTCGGCGCTGAATGAGATTGATAAACCGAATGTTGACTGTGCTCCTCTCAAGTGTGCCGTAAAGAATGACTTAGACGCATGCTGTGCACACAACTTGTGGGGTCGTAACTGCATAGATCTCTGAGGCATTGATCAGCCTTATCGTAGCACGGAAACGGGTTCCGAGGTGCACTGAATTTCTGCGTGTCCATAACGCCCTAGTAGGATGCCTGACAAGCAGTCTTCGAATCGACTAGGATCGCGAAGGCCCATGAGATGTAGAAAGCCGGTGCTATTGGGAACAGCCGAGTGCTATTCCAACCGATCCTAAACTGGTCAAGAAAACCGTAGTTAGCGAGACAGTAGCTGAGAAAGATGGGCAGTTAATCCATTCTCAGCTTCGTTGACTATCCCGTTGGGTGGAACAGTTCAGCAGGCCTGTTGCGACGCTGCCGCTTGCCGAGTCGCCTGAGTCGACGTGCGCAGTGGACGTTACACCTCCCACTTTGGGAGAGATCCGATATGAGTTTTCTGTGTTGAAACGGAACAAGGCTCCTGGACCCGACGACCTTCCTCCATCTCTGCTGAAAGATGCAGGTGACTATTTGTTGACTGGGCTCGCTTCTCTAGTTAACACGATTTGGGACGCTGAAAAGATGTCTTCAGACAGGCGACTGTCAACGGTCTTCAAGAGCGATCAGCTCAATTTGGGGAAAAATCATCGAGGCATTAGCCTTGTTTCCTTTGTCTCCAAACTTCTCATGGGCATCATTCTCATACGACTTACTGGTTCCCGTGAGAACCGAATTATCGAAAACTAGGCTGGTTCCACCCTGGTCGTGGCTGTATCGACCACATATTTACTTTTCGCTCAGTGTTAGAGCAGGGACACACATACAGACAATCGACTATGGTGGTTTTCCTTGACTTGAAATCTGCCTCCGACTCTTGTGGTACTGCCTATCCATGAAGGGCGTGTCAGCTAAATTCTTTCAATTTAGTAGTGCAGTCTCTCTACCGTGATTTCCGAGTCTGTGTAATGGTCTACAGGAAACTATTTCCTGAGTTCCCCACGACAAGTGGGGTTCGCTATGGTTGTCCTATATCTCTTTTGCTCTTTAACTTTGTGCTCGAACTGATCATGATTGATTCCGTTCTTCCAGACTCTCTCGGAGTGGGACTTCTGCGAAGTGACCTGACTAACATACCTGCATTATGCGGACAACATAGCTCTGCTTGGGTCTGACGCATTGGCTATGCAAACACCACTGCATAGACTTGTGCTTAGCACTGCACGCTTTACATGCGCTTTGCACCCTCAAAGTACTGTTGCTGGACTCTGGCGGTACGCCACCTGTTCTAGCTATCTTCGAACGGCCACTAGGAGTGGTGGATCGGTATACTTACCTTGGTAGCTGTGTCCATCTCTGATAGTCACCTCAGTGAAACGATCAGTTTGCTTATCGGCAAGGTTTGTGTGGCTTTTTAGAGACTTAACCATCTGCGGTAACGGTGGGATATTAGCCTGTCAGTAACAGGTAGGGTTTCTAACGCTGCGATAAGTCCGGTGTTACTGTATAGACCAGAGACCTGGTCATTTCGCGGCAAAGACACTAAACGCATGACCGTGTTTGATCACAGGTGCTTGCGAAGTATTGCTCACGTCTAGTGGGAACACCGCATGAGCCATGCTAAGGTCCGCCATTTGCTTTGTGACAGGAAACCTTCTAGTGCCTCACTCAAATGTTTGCTGAAGCTCAATCGCTTACGTTGGCTAGGTCATGTCCTCCGTATGCACGTTAACCGGCTTCCTCAGTGTGCATTGTACGCCGTGGCTGTACGAAGTTGGATGAAAACGCAAGGTGGCCAGTCCGTGACGTAGCATAGAAGCTTGAAGAAACTGACTGAGAGACTTTGGTCCGAATGTTGCGTGTCGTCTTCGTGGATGGGGCCTCGGGTCTGTCCACAGCAATGGTTGGAGACCGTATCAGACATGGCGCAGCCATGCAGTCAGTGACGTTCATGCACTCTGTTTCTTGCATCGCTTGTTAATTTTCTTTCTATTCTGATTAGTTTTACGCACTTTCCTCTTGCTTCCGTTTTCTTTGGATTGTTTTTCTCTAACCACACTATCTTGCCGTCGTTACTTATTGTCATTCTTGCGATGTGAGTCGTGGCAACTGGTTGCACCGCACTTTGGTGCTCGACTCATAGTTGTTCAACAGAACAGAACTGTACTGGACACGTAGTACGTATGGCCGGTCACCGCTTAGCGAGGGGTCCGTGTTTTCTTTGCCCGATATCTGGTGGCGCAAGGCTTGAGATGGACAAAATAATTATTTAACAGTGGGAAATGAGGTCACTGACGAGTAAATTAGTTACCGTTCATCCGTCTCGCCTTCTGGGTTAGAGTCCGCGCGACCCGCCTTGTGCTTAGCTTGAGACATTGCTGGACATGTTTCGAAGTCGGGACCAGTGACACGTCTGATGCCGTCTCATATTCTGACTGCCTGTTTAAAATGTGTTTGGTGCTGAGTTATGTGCCTGATAATAGCTGATTATGAGGCGAGGCAGTGAAATCCGCAACGAAGTTGTCTCGCTGATGCCGCCTTATCTTTGCGCGATAGCCAGTTGTTTGTGACGGCATGTTTTTGACAAGGTATGGGTGCCTTGACTCTGAATGTTTGCTTTGATTGTTTGGGTCTTACACTGGGTACCCCTTCTCTCCTCCCTTTATCCTTTGTTCCCCGTGTCATTGTGGTTGTACGGCAGCAAGCTTAAGTTCAAATGGATGATGTACTGCTGTGGATAATGACAAATGCTTTCAGGATTCGCACCGCTTCATCAATTGCTGTACACACATGGCTCCAAGCTGTCTTCACGCTTTTGTTTCAATGTTTCATTTCTCATCTGTGCTTCACCTCAATTAGATTGTTCTCCACATTAACCATTCATCCTAACACTTCGCAATTCTCTAGCGTACACACTTTATTAACCAGCGGAACATGATATTAACGAGCAGTTCCGGGCTCAAGCACTCCCCGTACCGATATTCTATTGCCTGATAAAAATTGGTCACTCGGTGGACCGAACGCATACGCACCAATGTCATTGCCGTTGGTTTTTACTTAAAGGCGTTATGGGCTATTTTGATCTAATTGCGGATTAACTTGGATTTAGTTCATCGAATCGCCTATTTATGAAGCTATTTTAGCACGCCTTGGTTCTAGTACTATCGGAATTAGGGAATCTCTCATTCTCTGATGCACACAGAACCAAGGGTTAGAGTGACGGTCCGTTTGTTACCGCCACGAGGCGTATCTTCTCCGCGTATTGGTAGTACCATACAAACCCATTTGCTGATGATGGTTCTATGCACTCTAATCTTTTGTATCGAGTAGACCGCCAACATCTGAACCGGGATTAGAAATCTTTTATACATGTAGTCAAGGCTGTCACCTTATGTACACAAATGTGAATCCATGTTTTGTTATTGCTTTTTCTCAGCCACCATCGCGCCATACGAAATCAGCTTGGGGCTTTGACGCACGTAATCTAAGTCAAGTTTAAGTCACTGATGCCCACTCACCTCATTGACCAGCCACGATTAAACTTTGAGGTCTCATTGCACCGCTTTTCGCATTGACTAGGGACTTATCGGCTCAATAGCATCGAGCCAACGCGTAGTGACCGGAAGTTGTATAGATGCACGCACTTTTATGAACCGAGACAACCTCCTGCTATTTTGCTTCACTTTCTTATTTGATTGTGAATTTCCACTGATTCAGCATTGCTCTCTGATTTGATGCAGTATCGTCCGGCTTTTCTCCTCATCTTCTTCTCAGGAAACAGTCTCTGAACAGCCATCGTCTGAAGCCGGCACTGTACAGTGTATTTTGCGAAATTAAAGAGAAGACAGGTATGTCTGTGGTTCGTTTTCATGCAATGCAGTTGCAAAGTTTTACCTTCCTCTGTCGATCCTTGAATTACCTTAAGGGGAGATGTGCTAACACGGCTCTTTTCACTGTTTTAGTTCCACCTGTAGATAGCCAACTCGGGCAATGCTCACGGATTCTCTCAGACAGTTTCCTGGTTGTTCTTCCGATATAACTTGCTCGACATGAACAAGTAAATGAGTATACACAGAAAGAAGTACTTGACCGAGGAAGTCTGTCCTTGAGTTGAAGCCTTACGATTGGTGTTGTAGCAAATCTTAGTCGTAGGCTTGCCGCGTAGTACGTACGGTTTATGGCGTCGGATAGCCTTCTAGACGTTGCCTGCGCCATTCCATCCCCTTTGAACGGCAACGATAGATAAACCAATTTCTTTTCAACCGAATCGGTTTTAACCCTCGATTCTCGGCACTCCATATTTCTCCGAACAAACTTTTCGGGATAGCAGTTTCTCTCAAAAAGGCCAGCTAAGAAATTCAGCTCGTCCGAGGACATTCTCAAAGTGCCTCGGAACCATTCATACCAGATCAGACAAATCCTAACTGGGCCTTCTTACCGGCTCTTTTCTTTCAAACTCGTCCTTGATGATCAAAAATTTGCCCAACATAGCCTTGATTTGCTTGTGACCGAACGCGAATGCCACGACCGTTTGCCATCGTGGGAGGACATACCTTTTGATAGCTGGTTTGTTACCGCCCGATTTTAGGCAATCCGATTTTGAAACGTCTGGGTGCAACCCAACTAACGCTCACCTGTATTTTACTGTGACCACGAATGTATCATACAGTGCGATCGAGAAACCCACATGACATCTATAAGTCTGGGTTTGTCCGGCATCACGTTGCACCCGAATCTGGCGTGATTCTTTTCGTGACATGAGTTGTTCATCCAAACCCCCGATTAGGCTCTTGTAATGATCCTACCTTGATCGTGCTGTCACGTGAACCAGGATTTTGGGTCAGATGCTACGGGAACTCTCGAATAAGCTCCTCCTCAGGGAACATTATCTGCCACCGGTGTTCCTTCGTGTTCCTCCTCTGCCTCCCCTCAGTCACAGGCTATTCCTCCCAGATTGACTATCATGAGACCATCCATAACTTTGCAACCACAGCTTAGATTGTAACATTTTTGTTTTTTGTGTGTGCATCTTCCGACGTCTGCAGTCTGTAAGGCAACAACCTTCGCTAGAATTCACTTCACTCGGATTTGATTTATACCGTGCATCCGTAATCCCTGAATCTCCATTGACGATCGTTTCACTCCTCTTCTTTTCTGGTGTTTCGTGGTGCCTTCGATTCTGCAGTTTCCAACGCGGTTTCCTGATTTGATAATCTACACGAGTTACTAGTGAAACTATGGGAACAGGAAACTGGCCATCCGACTGAAGCCGCTCCGTTATAGTTTCAATCTCCACGGGATGTTCCTTTTCAGAATGCGGCAACCATAAAGGAATCATTCTGATCTCCATCGCCTCCAAATTGCTTACAGCTGTCATCCTTCACAGATAGACTGGCACTCGTGAAAGCCAGATCTGGAGGAGGCAAACCGAGTTTCGTTGAGGTCGGGGCTGCATCGACCACATCTTCACTTTGCGTCAATTGTTGTGGCCCTTTCTTATGTATTGGCGCCCCACAGTTGTCGTGTTCCTCGACATCAAAGGTGTCTTTGATTCGGTTGATCATTGTGTCCTTTGGGACTATTTACTCAGGAATGGTGTGCCGGAGACATATGTAAACATTATCCGAGCGCTATGCGCGCGTAACTTGGGCAGAGTGAGCGCTTGCTTTAAGCCGTCGCCGCCCCTTAATATCTCCAGCCCGCTGTCACTTCCCTATTTCGCTTTTGACGAACCGGCTCGTAGCCTAATGTTAACGAGGTCATCTTGTAATCTGACAGCGCGAGTTCGAGGCTGCGTAGTGGCAAGTCAGCCCTCGCGATGTCCTTGGCCCACGTACGATCAGGGGTGATTACGCGGCAGTGAAGCGTCGGTACTGTGTATCGGCGTACTGCTGATGCCTTTCGCTCTTGACGAAGCCATGGACATTGCGTTCACAGGACACGAATTAGAAGGTGTGGAGCTGCTCCCAGGCGAACAACTTCTTGACTGGGAGTATGCTGATGATATTACTCTCATCTGTGACAGCTCACAGACTCGTCAAGTTGCACTGGAGAGATTAGCGCTGGCCGTCGGCCGTTTCGGGCTTTACCTTGTACCATCGAATTGCGAAGTTTTCCAAGATTGGCAGGGACCCACTCCTGCACTGACTCTTGGAGGGGATTAGTTAGAAGTCGTTTAAAAATTCAACTACCTGGGCGGTTGTATCAGCGTTTGTGTAATAGAAAGTCACAAACCGTGTAGCAAAAGCTTGGGACGCTTTTCTTAATTTTCGCCACTTATGGCGCCGGCGCGACATCACACTCTTCCTGAAGAATAGCGTTTACATTGCAGCCGTACGTTCGACCCTATGGTGCGGTTGCGAAACCCGACCCATTAGATCGGCAGACAAGAGGCTAGTTACGCTCGATCACCGGTGCCTTTGCAGTTTGGCTCATATCCGGTGGGAACACCGCATGAGCATTGAATCTCTTCGATGCCTTGTTTATGGCACAAAAAAGCGAATCGCTCAGCACCGTTATTTCACGCTCCAGGATCTGATGGTTGGGATGCGTGTCGTACATACCAGCCCACCGACTCCCGCGACGGGCCTTGTTTGCGCGCCAGGGATGTGGATGAACAAAGAGGAGAGGTAGCCAAGCAATGACTTGTCAAAAGGGATGAAGGTCCTTACTTCGAAGTTGGCCTCGGTTGGGGCCTCGACTCCCTGGTTGGGGTCCGATAGAAGGTGAACCCGTTTGGCTGGATACACTAGCTGACATGGCTGGGAGCCGACATCAACGGCGTTTGTGTTCTGAGTTTCTCTGCCCCCCCCCCTCCGGCTTAGCCTCTCCATACAAGCACGAGGTCATTTCTTAGCATATTATAAATTTTGCAAAATAGACTTTTTTATCGGTACCATACCTGCTGGTAGCTTTCCGGAACGATGCCTATCCGTTACTGGTGGCTCAGCTGACGTGCCTTGGTTGCAGGTGCTTTTTCTTCTTTTGTTATATAATGCGGCACAGTAGCTGACCTGTTTTCCACCTTAGCTAACGTGTATACTGATGGTAGTTATGATTTGTTCTTCACCCCAATCCAAAGGGCTTTATTGATTGCTAGAAACATCATCCTGGAAACTGTAGCTACTGACGAACTCATCCGGCTTTTCTACGAGCCCATATCTTTGGATGCCGTTTTATTCCTAGTGAGCTTCCTTCACGGGCGCACCATTACCGCGGCACCGAGGCTAATGTCCTCAGTCTTCCTGATCAAGTAGATTCCAAGCAATGCTACTCGAACTCAAATTCATTGAGATAATACCACTCCCAATGTTCTTTTATTGCTCAACTCACAAATGCTCGTATTGTTGACCGCAATCCACCGGCACCCGTTTCGCTGATCGTCCATCTTTTATCACTTCCCTTTCCAAATTCTAAATTCACGAGAGCAAACTACTCTACTAACAATTAATCAATAACTTGTTTATTTTTGCTTTATGATTGATTCGGCTCTATTCGCTTCTGTTCGCCCCGAAATTGATGCTATCGAAAATTCACATCTTTCAGGTTTATTTATTTTCTGTCACCATCTGTTTACGCTTATCACTATAACCTTAGAAATTTAGCATCTATTACTCCTTGTTTTACCGCTTTACCTTAATTACGTTTTCACTTCGCTTACCGCTTGAACCATACTTGTGGATTTACTTTTGTCACCTCCTCGCGGTTTGTTTCACTTTTCCATAAGTCTATTGTATTACACTGCACATAATTACAATTGTAATCACGATTTAATAGTACCATTTATTCCGCTCACTACAATAACTGCTGCCTCGGCCGTAACACCATGTTTCACCATCCCATCTAGCCCTGAGTCTGCGTAATTCCGCTGCATCGGCTGTTGAGGATGAAGCCAATTCACCAGACCCGCAGCTGCTACGGCTGGATAAGATGTTGGTTGCGGAAGGTGTCACCGGTCCAGGGGCTGGCCTCGCCAATGATCTCGCTGACACTGCCGGGGAGATGGGCGGTTCCGTGCTCGGTGCCGGTGGTGTCACTGATTGCAACCAAATAGAACACGCAGACTACCGCGCCAAACTGTCTCAAATCCGCCAAATTTATCATGCGGAGCTGGAAAAGTACAAAAACGTAAGTTCTAGTCAGGTAGCGAATAGAGTACCCCAGCTTGTCTAACCGCATAGTGCTCTGCGCTCTCTTTCCCTGTATATTTCTATAACTTGTTTTAAATTAAAATTTTTAGATAACTGCCTTATTGTTTATCAAAAGCCACTCAAGCCTCTTTGTGTAGCTTCCAATGACTTATCAGCGCTTATCTTGCGGTGGTATGAGAATCAAGGGCAGCAATACAAAATGGGATGTATTAGAGCACTTGAAGGGAAGAAATAGGCACGGGATGACGTCATCTCCTCAGTTGTGTGTTTTCGGTCATTGATGTGACCTATATCGCGGACCTTTTCGGGAGGCCGCAGGCGTCAAAGAGAGCCTTCTAACTTTTTATATGTTTCAAGAACATGTTTTGACCAAGGTAAATTGTGAGATAGGAAAACTCCGAAATATTTTACGGTAGAGGAACGAAGTAAGCTTTGTTTATCCACATTCATGGGAGAAGAGCTATGTGTAATTGACTTCAGACTGTTGGAATGTAGAAAACAGAACGTTACATCATAACTCCTGGCAGGGTTGAGAGAGAAGCACCGGGAGCTCGACCAAGTTACTAGTTCATCTAGCCCTCGATGGTTGAGGTTATGCTTCCGAAGACGACATCACCAGCATATTTACGATTTACGAAGGTTGATGGAATATGGAGACTTTCGGACGTATGCGGAGAATAGGAAGTGGGATAGGATGGCTCCCTGCCAAAACATCACAATTGGCTGGGAGTACAGAACACTTTATATCGCTTAGTTGCAGGAAGTGGCTGCACTTTGTGGAGTAATCGTACACACATATGTGGGGACGCCATTTTCAGACAAGCTGTTGAGCAGTACTGATCTGTCGAGGCCCCCAATGGCGTTGGTATAAGCAAAAACTCGTAGCCGTATGCTCATGCATTTTTTATTCAACGCTAACGCAATGGAATGCACCAGATAAGAAACCGTATCCAGTGTAGAGTGCCCTAGTTTATGGTCAAACTGTCCGAGATTATCAGTATTATTGCCTGTGCAAATGCGGGGGACCAGTAGTTTTTCCGGTAGCTTTAGCAGCATGGATGTGCACGGAATTGGCTGACATTTCCGAGATCATATTTTGACACTGGTGTTATGCTGGCTGGTTTCCAAATGTCAGGGGTGGTACCACTCGTTTAGCACCGATTCAAGATCTCTGTCAGAGATGTTGTTAAGACATCTGCACACTCTTGCTGATGGACTGCTGAAAGAGCAGCCGGTCCACTAACCTTGTTTGGCTTTAGTCTTGTGAGCTCTTTGTAAGCACTTGTGGTATCAAATAAATTAGGAGACTCAGTAGTAGTGGTGAATGACAGGCGGAGTGTGTTAGGTGATAAGGAACTGAACTCAACGTTGAGATTATCCACGTCCTTGCTGATAACTATTCCGAAGGAATTCTTTCCAGAGATTTTTCATAATAGCCTCAACAGGTCACGGCGACTGTGGTTACCTGAATGTACAGTGTTCAACCTTTTATTTCAGATTTTATAGCTAAGGGCAGACGTTCAACACAGGCAGTTAGTTTATGTTTATAAGCCTGTTCTTTTTCCCCCCACAATTGTTTTAGCAATGGAGATGAAAATACAGAGTGGCGCACGAAATGTCATACCAATAGTTTTGTTCATTACACGTGTAATATTATAGATGTAATGTTCGAAACTTGTATTCGTATGCTTTGGTTTGTGGAAAATTCATTAGATGTCACGAAAAGTTAGCATGGCATATTTTTTGGCGCCAAACCCCATGTTCAAGTTGGCGCATAAGAGCAGATTGAGTGTTGAACAGGTGAAAGTTACAATGTTTTTTTTTACCAAAACGAGGAGTGTTGTAGCGACACGAAGACGTTTTCGTGCACAGTTTCGTGCAAATTGTGTTCCATGTAAACAGACTATTCAGAGATTGTATCGTCAATTTGAAACAACTGGCTCTGTGGTGGAGAAGAATCGACGACGCAGACCAAGTGTCCGCACCCCTGAAAACATGGGATCAGTTCGCGTTGCTTTGACACGAAGTCATAGCAAATCAACAAGTAGGACGGCTGCTGAGTTAGGATTTTCTCCTCGGTCCATACAAACGATTCTGCATTCTGATTTTCGAATGTTCTCTTACTAGATAACATTTGTCCATGAATTAACAGCAGAGAAGAAGCAACGAAGACGACATCAGTTCGCTTCATGGTTAGTGCAAGAGGATCACGTTCTGTACAACACGTGGTTTACTGACGAGGCGTATTTTCATTTAAATGGTGTAGTGAATAAGCAAAATGTTCGTTTCTGGGCAAGTGAACATCCTCACATTCTGCACGAAAGGGAAAGTTATGGAGAAAAGGTCAGTGTATGGGCAGCAATTTCATCCCATGGAATCATCGGACCCTTTTTCTTTGATGAGACGGTAAACAAAGATCGATATAAGGACATGTTGGAGAACAGATTTATTCCAGCACGCTTGGCACACAGGTCTCCCATTACAAACTCAATGATCCATGCAAGTCGGAGCCCGCCCACACTGTAAATGTTGTTTTTGACTAACTGTATGACATGTTTGCTGGGCGGGTAATGTCACATCGGTTTCCTGATCGTCACCAAGGTGGGAGACAATAGCCCCCCCCCCATAGCCCTGACATCATTCCATGTGATTCCTTCTTGTGGGGCTACTTGAAAGATAATGTCTTCGCAAGGAAGCGTGCAAGTGCAGCTCAACTCAGGGCGCTCATCATGCAGTTGTGCCGTCTAATTTTCTGGGGGCTTTTGCAGGAAGGTTGTGACAAATGTAATGGTTCGCTTGCAAGAGATTGTGAAACAAAATGGTGATCACATTGAACACAGACTGTATTGAACTACATATCCATGCTCATACACCTTATTCTGCACTAATTTTTTAATATTTTGTTAATAAATACATGTACAATAAACAAAGCAAATGGTATGACATTTCGTTCGCCACCCTGTATGTCATTTCGTAATTTGATTGTCTCCATGGGGCAACACAGATCAGAACGATAGTTTATATAGTCTGTGAGGTGCTCGCATTGAGCTGACAAGTCCTCATTCTGCAAATTGAACAATCAGTTGGACAAAGTGTTTATATGAGTTTTGCAGTGTTATCTGCTGAGCACTTCCATCGTTAAACAGTTCTGGCTGGTCTTTTTGTCAACGCAACATAGTATAACTTGGGATCTAGTTTTATTAAGCAATATTCGGAATTACCTAGAGGTGCACGCTTTTGTGTAGAAAATAATTCGCGTTTGTTAAGAAATACTAAATCTAGATGCGCCTCGAGTCTGCTGAGGATTTTCACCTATTTGGCTAAATCCATGGTGTTAATGAAAGTGGTGTCCTTCCTATTGAAGTCGCCGACGATAATACAGATGCAACACTCTAAGTTTAGTTGCAACTCCAAGGCTAGGTGGTCTGCAAAATTCTACAGCACGAACAGCGCTGTGTCCGGAGCTATGTACACGATCCCAGCCAGGAGGGTTAGAAAACCACTCAGAAACCTTGATTTATACTCCAATAGATGACAGCTTTCTGAGATTGTTGATTACTCCAAGGGTTTTGAAACGAATTTGTGTGAACCTTTGCTAATGTAATTTATGACAACTCCACAAGGTTTTGTGTAGGTTCGTCGCAGTTAGACACAGCCAGACAGACACCACACATCCAGGAAAGCGCTAGACGGCCGTTTCGTCCTATTGGGACTCGTCAGTAGCGCGCACCCGCCGAATCTTGCCGGATTCGAACCCACGATCTTACTCTTGCGAGTCAGCGACTTATGTCACTGAGCCATGGGCGACGGCAGCGGACCGCCATGACTGATATCTAACTGCGATATAGCGCGGCTCATCGTCCACTGTCTTGCATGTTATGAATGTGCAGAGGACAGGGCTGGCCCCCAGAGCAACGACTTCCTTTGCAAGCCGCCACCAATCGAGGCGGCATGTAAGCTGCTAAGGCGACTACTGATTATTTGTAAGTAGTAGGGGGATTTATAATAACACTAATAATTTATAATAATAACAATAATACCAACAATAACAATAATAACAATGACAATAATGATAACAATAAGAATTTATAATAAATCCCCCTACTACTTACAAATAATCAGTAGTCGCCTTAGCAGCTTACATGCCACCTCGATTGGTGGCGGCATGCAAAGGAAGTCGTTGCTCTGGGGGCCAGCCCTGTCCTCTGCACATTCATAACATGCAAGACAGTGGAGGATGAGCCGCGCTATATCGCAGTTAGATATCAGTCATGGTGGTCCGCTGCCGTCACCCATGGCTCAGTGACATAAGTCGCTGACTCGCAAGAGTAAGATCGTGGGTTCGAATCCGGCGTGATTCGGCATGTGTGCGCTACTGACGAGTCCCAATAGGACGAAACGGCCGTCTAGCGCTTTCCTGGATGTGTGGTGTCTGTCTGGCTGTGTCTAACTGCGACGAACCTACACAAAACCTAATAAATCCCCCTACTGCTTACAAATACTCCACAAGGTTGGAGGTTTCTTCGACGGTCCGATCGAGTGTGGGGTGGTAACGCCATTGAGATTAACAACTCCATCATCAATGTCAGAGAATACAACCAAGATCCCAGCAACCTAACTATACCTGCATTCATGAATTCCCTTCGTTGCAACATGGTTGCAACATCATCCATTTTCCCGAGAAGTGGTCAGATATTGCTGGAGAGCATCAGCGGACTTTGGGCCTTTTTAACGGGACAGCGTTTCTGTCCTACTTACTAGTCAGCACGATCTTTTTCCCCCAAGACTTTCTTAATTCTTGTCTTGTGTCCATACATTGCAAGAGGCGATTTTCTCACTTTGTCTCGAAGCTGAATTAAATCTTCAACCTTAGTATGACAACATCGGTGACTATGGAATCGATTCACTTAGGGTAAACTAATTTCTGTAAACACAAAGAATCCACAGTGAGTAGTGTAAAATTATGTTCCTTTGGTAACGGGAACGGCCAGACTTAAAGACCCCACCACCATGTATTGTGATATGTTTCAAAAAGTATCAGAACGTTCTGCAGACCGGATCTGTACAGCATTCAAAGCATTGCTAGATTTGCATTTTACCACTTTTCTGTTTAGAGCACGATTTCACACTGTCAATGACATCTCACGCTTGTGAGCCCTGTGAGTCAAACTTTCTGAATGTTACATTGATGACTTGAAGAACGATTGGGCTATTAACGGGTGTAGCATTTTTGATCATGCTCCGATGAAGTATTACAGATTTAAATGTTTACTTGCTTACACCATAGGGTATTCATCTCTCATCTTCCCATTCAGGCTTGCGACGAATTCACCGGCCACGTGATCAACTTGCTGCGTGAACAAAGCCGCAGTCGTCCAATCAGTCCGGCCGAGATTGAGCTAATGGTGGGCATCATACGGCGTAAATTTCGAGCCATTGAGACGCAACTGAAACAAAGTACCTGCGAAGCGGTCATGATACTCCGATCTCGCTTCCTCGACGCCCGGTTCGTTTCACTTGCAATTGGGTTTGATCTGGTCTGAATGTACCAAGATGTGTCCACATTATTTGCTCGTCCTACGAACTAGGCCGTACTGGCATACATTAAGCAGTAGTTGTGGTAGCAGTGGTCTAATCAACGGTCTAATAACTAGACGTAGAGCCAAACAAAATCATGGAAATCAGATGACTGGTAGAGTCGCCTCATCATTATCATTATGGCACATTAGTTAAGGGTGAGCAACACACTTCAGCTACTGTGCCGCAAGAAGAACGGAACCTGTTTTTGTTAATTTTTCACACGCCATTTTTTCATGTATTTTTTAATTGTTAGGCGTTAAGTATCTGAAACCAAACAAGTGTGTACACACATCTTCCACTAGTTTCGATTGCGTGCCATGTCCTGAAATATTTCGAGCCATCGGCACTCTAGGCAGGCGTGTGAATCCAACGGCAGAAAGACGTTAAGTCAATGGTTTCATATACTGTTGCCAGGTGGATGGCTGACCAGTCGAGTCCTGCACGAGCGAGTAGAACGCGATAGGGCAAATGCTCAGCTGACATACGCAGGACGTGAACGAGCCATCTTAACTGGCTCGTTGAAACCAGCTTGTTGAAGAGAATACTCGCATCCCCTAAGACACGACGTCTGACTTCACCGATGCAGCTACACTGTTGCCACCACACACGAGTAATTCTCCTCAAGCACGCATTATCGAATGCAGAGAGCCGGTACATGTCATCTACGCGAACTGGCCATGTTTCACTTCCATATGGCAACACCGCCCGAACTTTGGTGTTGTAAACACGACCCTTTACCAAATGGGAGATATCCCGATGACACCACACGTGTTGCAGGTTGACAAACGCAGACCTGGCTTTGACGATGTGGAGAGAAATTTCCTTGGTGTTAGCGCTCCTAGCAGACACGCAGCTGCCAAGGCATACAAAGCTGTCAACGGGTTCATGCTGTATGCCTTCATGTGTGAACATGAGAACGGGAGAGTGCCAATCCTGGAGCAGCACTTGACACTTCGAGGGGCGAAGCGCAGACCCAACTTAGATGCCCCAATTGCCAAACGGTTTCAAATGGTTGGCATACTCTGCATGTCATCACGAAGTAGCGCCATGTCATCGGTAAAAGCTAAGTCTGTTGTTTTTTTTTACCCGGTAACCTCCCAGAGCTCCGTCGACAGGATGTTTTTAATCACAAAATTGAAGAGGGACAGGAACATAGGGCAACCCTGTGGTACACCGCTATTGACAGTGAAGGACAAAGAAAGCTTGCCGGAGACATGGAGGTAGAATACGCACAGGATGGTAGTATACTTTTCTAGGACCCCGTTCCTTAGCAAGCAACGTCATAACGCAGGTCAATCAACCGAGTCGAACGTAGCACGGATGTCTAAGTTAATCAGTAGTTTAACACGCCAACCCCGTCCTCCGCATGGCACAGCACGTATGCATTGCATATTAAAAGAATAAATAAATATTAAATAGATAAATGTTTTCGGTCTTACGAGGCATGCTCTTTCCGGCATGATCAGCATTTCACAATCATATTACACAATCACCGAGGGGAACATATTCATTAAAGTAGTGCAAAGGCTAAAAGATTTTAAAGAAACAGTTAAAAGTTCAACTAAGGTAATACGACTATTCGTCGAGCCATTTCCTAGGGACCTACTTCCATGCGGGGTAGTCCCCCTCAAGTTTTCACTCGTACTTCCACGCCCATCTGACCCTGTGTCTGTGTGGCTGAAAAGCATGCACACCATCACCGCTTTTCTTCATCTCTCAGATCATTTTTATATTCGATTAGGATAGACACTTCAGCCCAATATGGTTGCGTTCCAGTGTTACCTAAATTCAGACAGGTCGCCGCTGCTACAACTTTTTTCGGGCAATTTTGTATGAAATTAGAGTGGTCACTTCGGCCATTTGACTCTTCTGAGTATAGCACTTTTTTAACACCAGTGGATTTGTAGGCAGTTCGCCCTGCATAAGTACACTGGTTCTCTTAGAAGCTCCACTGTGTCAGTGCAAGCAATAGGTCAAGTCATGGTCAAGAATGAAAGAGTAAAATGGCATGAACAATAATAAAGACATGTTATTTGACTTCTCGTCAATTAGATTACAAGCTGCAATCATGAGCTACGAATCCGGAAATGCACCGGTTGATCGTTTCGCCCTATTGGGACTCGTCAGTGGTACGCGTTTCCTCGGTCCGCTGTGGGGATGGAAATCCTTAACCACCGGTAGTTCGCACCACTAGTTAGCTGTTTATGCCACTGAGTCATGGAAGACGGAAACCAACCATCACGGATTGAAATCTAACTCTGATATGGCCCGAACTCGATACTGAGTTCTCCCATGAATGCTCCGGCGACCGACGCTAGCAGTACCACTGGGATTTGAAATGCTACCAGCTTTTTGCTACTGCATAATTAATGGAAGCCAGCACCTTACGCAGGATTTCGATAGCTACTTTCTGATAGTGGGTCTTAACGATAAGAGTATACTTTAGTATGGTGTGATGTTTGTGGGTACTTCCGCTACGGCCCACTTTTTTAGTTGTTTTTAGAGTCACACACCAGACAGATGAATTAGTCTAGAGTATAACGAGGCACGATTTTGATGTTTTTTTCTCTAGTGCCAAGAAGCGGTCGGTGGATATATTTTATTAAATCTCAACCTTGTGAAGCACGAGCACCATGAGTTGTCTCTGACGGCTCACCGATTTGTTATCACTAGTCTCAGGTCATGTTACCTCAACTTCTATGTGGTCGACCCTGGCCACAATGGTGTAATCTGCAGTGATGAATTCACATACCCAACTACATCTGATCCTGAGCCTCCAATCCTACATACAGCCAACCTCAATCGGGTCCCAGTGTTGGGCTCTACTTTCACACTCCCGATATACACTTGCTCCTCGCTGCATTGCAGATCAGACCATCTAGTCGAAGACTAGATAAGGATGGACTCGAACAACCCCCAGGAACCCCTTTCGGTAGCGATTTGTCACTCACTGTTGCCGATAGTGGACTTGAGATTCTGAGCAATTCTGGTTAACTTGCGCATTTGTTTCAGTTTACTGTGTGTTTCCGCTCTTCGAAATGTAAAATACTTCTCCAGGATTGACCCACAGCCGTTCTCGTGCGCACCCCTGAAGGTGCACTTCTCTGACAGGTAGATAGTTTTATCTACATTGTAAGCGGTGTTTTTCCTAGTGATACGAGTAGGAGAGAAATTTCTCTACATATCGCCGAGACACTTTCTGTGTTTGTCAATCTGAGGCACTTTTGACATCATTGACATGTCTCCATCTCGGTAAAGTGACGGGTTCATGATACCTTTATTCGCTCGGTGTTTTATATGAGTAAGTTCCGGATGACATGCGCCTGATTTCATTCTTCGACAATGAATGTTTGGAAAGAATCACTGGTTTCTGGTGGCAACACCAAGTTCATCTCGATGAAGTTAGACATGGTGCTTTGCGAAATCTGGGTATTCTCTCCATACCATTCGGGCATTTGTCGCACCGTGCTCTTTTCGCTCGTGCAATATGGGCTGGAGGCGACCACATAGTGGACGGCACACTAAGGTCACGTTTATTCGCCGTTTGAGCCGCGCGTCTTCCTGACTGCGTACAACACGAGAACGAGAAGCGCCTATGACTAGAAACGTCTGGAGATATGGCTTTCACTCGGAATCAACGGAATATCTCTGTGGGGAATTGTCTATGCTTGTTTGTCTACTACTTCAAGCCTTGAGAATGACGAATAGAGGATATAAAATCGGCGCGTAAAAACAACTATGAAATCGTTTTTACCGTAGTTGTACTTCTTTCTGATGTCCATGGTTGTTGACGACTCTATTTCGATCTAGGACAACCCAGCTGTTTGTTTTGCTTTATATCACATGCTTAAATTCTTTCTATTACTACCCACTATATGTCTAGTATTGTATATAATGTATATAGCACTTGTCCAGTAAACATTTAACAGAGTGCCATAACACATGAGTACCAATAACAAAAAGGAGGAAGAAAGAGTCAGCTGAATGGATGGAACGTACCATGGGCTGTGTGGGCATTAAGCTTTCCGGTTGCCCAGACCGAGGAAGAGGGTTGGCTTAATGGACCCCACCCCGAGCCTTTGGTCTTAAAGACCTGACCCGCAAGGCAGCGAGATGATTCCCGAAGACCGTTGACAGCCAGATGGCTCATTCGCCTTCTTTGTGTTCGGAAGTAGTCCACAGATAAGCCGGTGGCGAGCGAGGTTGTTCATCCGCTCTCCGTTTGATACTCACCCCCAGTTACAGTAGTGAGTGGTCAGTGACCCTATAGCCGGTCACAGTGGCTTTGACACAGCGCCGTACGAGCACTTGTGGTATTTACTGAAGAACTGGTTAACCAGACCAGAACTTCCCACGCTCTGATACGCTGCCGCTGATTATCCGCAACTGATTATTCATCTCGCCTGCAAGGCAAAGGAGACTTATTCGCAGTTACCTCCACAAGGAATGCATTCCCCGATCCGCAACTTGGGGATGCGCCTGATGGCGTACAGCTCCGCCACTGGATATGTCTAGTACTCTACTTAGAATCATCTTCCTAATTCACATCATTCCATTCTGTCCCTCTGAATTATCAAACGTCTATGGCTTCTGCGCATACTTTTTAATATTTTCCACTTGCATCCGATTTGCCTTTTGTCACTATGCATTGCAGACGCAAGCGACGCAATTTTAGCAAAGAGGCCACGGAAGTCCTTAATGAATACTTTTATTCCCACTTGGCCAATCCATATCCGTCGGAAGAAGCTAAGGAAGAGTTGGCAAAGAAGTGTGGAATCACCGTGTCCCAAGTGAGTCTTTTTGTCACCGTTTTGCAGACTTAGTTGCGCTCCAGTTCACTCTAACATGGCTTCTCGCGTTCCATTTTGCCGTTAGATGTATGTGTTGTATACCTTTTTAGGTATATTATTGCATCCACCACCTTCTTTCCTACGTTTGACCACCCTAGTAAGCCATTAAACGGATTAAGAAATCTTACGACCTTCGTAGTGCAAGTCGCTTTTTCCCCTAGGCAGTTGCCAATTTTCGGTAGCCTACTTAACCCTAGGTGAATGTCAAGTGAGATCCGAAGTCGAGTTCAATCGCTTTGGATCGCTGGTTCAGCCAACTGACTACTTCGCGGGTGAGATTGCATTTTGTGACACCGTTGGGTGTTTTCCACCTTTAGCTAAGGTGTATAATGAATGAATGAATGTTCGATTTCTATACTTCTTTTATTGGAAACACTATTTCTAGTAGACTGTGGTTACACGGGACAGCTTTGCAGTATTGAGTATCTTCAGAGATTTTGTGTTGACCGAGACCTAAGCAATTTTGGTGTCGAGGTTTGGCTCACAAGGTAAGATCTGGGCGCTGAGGTGCTGATATAATCAGGTACCAGCTTTCGCGTCATCTTCAGTGAAAGGATTTTAAGCACTATGGGCAGTTGGCTGCTAGTGTTTATGGAAAAACCAGAATTTTACTTCGTTTTTCCTTACGTCAAGTCGCTCCGATGGGGTAAGTTCAGGCTGGAAGTTTGTTCTTATGACTAGAATGATTAGGGAGTGGACTTTATTGACCAGGTGCGTTTGACTCATGTCATTCAGAGGCTTATTCGACAGCCAACTAGTGTTGTGGCCCTCGGAACCTGTCAGTTTTCTCAACCTCTTGTGATTTCAGCGTAATCCTGAAGGCCACCCAATCCAGGATGGGTCGGGCTATATCGCAGTTAGCTTCCAATGCGTGATGACCAGTCATCGCCCCCCATGGCTCAGTAGAATAACCTGCCAGCTAGTGGTGCAAGCCACATGCGGTCATGGGTTCTATCCCCAGCAGGGGGCCGAAGGAATGCGCACCGCTGGCGAGCCCCATTAGGGCGAAACGATCTTCTGGTGCTTCTCGGGATTGGTAGCTCATCTTTGCGTCTTGTAATCTACTTTCGATGAACCAGCTTAAGTCAGGTTTTAACTACTTTGAGGAACCAGCGTGCAACCGCACAAACCTATTGCAAATTCACCCAGACCTTAATATTTATAGGCTCAGTGGGAATTTACGGCAAGCAGTTCAGCCACTAGAGCTCGTAATCATTAGCCGGTTTGGCCACGGAGCTGTGTGGTGTTCTATTAGCTCAATATCGAGCTTGGAGGTCTTGCTAAGTGCTCATACATTTTCTAACCCAAATAACTAACTGGCTTTGTAAAAAATATTATCTCAGTAACGAAGAAACCTGCATGAATAATGACCCTCTTTCATGCAACCGGAACTACCGTCCCTGGCCATCGGGCTCTTTCTGCTGAACGACTTGGTTATTTTCCGTTCCCGGTATCCCTGATTTTTCAAATATCCGGAGCAAATCCCAAAGTTTCTCCTGAACTTCGTAGACGCCGAACTGGGCAAACACTTGTACTAGCTTACTCTCGTTACTTTCCCAGTGAGCCTTTCTCCGAGCAACTCACCCTTCCCTGACGCTCAATGAATTTAACCATTCATTTAACCATCATTCTGATTTCTACTAACGAACATTAACGATATATGCACGCAGGTAGCCCTGCCCCCTGGGTCGACTTACTAAGTGTAAAAGTCACAAACCATAGACGAGTTATCTGTGTACGTGAAATGAGGCACCGGATAAGCTCGCGTGCAATTATAGTAAAAAATGTTATCAAGGAGCATCTGTAGAGGACTACCTTTCAACTGCATCTGCGCGCTCGATAATCGTAAAAGCTTATTGCAATTGATCCAAAATGAATTTTTAAATTTAAATTCCAGAAATAAGAACATCAGACGCTGAGTGGCAACATGTTCAATAAAATCAGTAGCCCTTGAGCAGAGTTACTAGTTATATAAGTTATGTGCAAGGTCTCCGCCGACTTTTTAATCATACTGTGTCAGACAACTTATAACTAATGATGTGGCTGATGCCCGGGAAGAACGACAATGACGTGATTCAATTTTTTCACCGGCCTCTTCATGTTTCGCAACCGGATTCTCATTTTGGGAATCACCTACGGGTTTCACCCAAACCAGTGTGTAAAATCGGCAAATACCATACGCTGAGATCGTCTGCGCGTGTGCTAAACACCTATCCTAACCTAGCCCTTGTAGCACATTTCCTGTTTGATTTCACAGCGATGATAAGGCTAGCATTGAAATAACTTGACTTTTGCGACGTTACAGTTGGCCATTCAGTGCGCTGCCGTTGAACCAATGAGAACCAATCTCTGACTAAGCTCACACTGCCAAACCTCTGCTTCACACCTCACTACTTGCTTTCTCGCGCAAGTGACTAGTTGCTTTGGTAGCATGGCATCAGCAATACGCTGGTACGCAGTACCGACGCTTCGTCGCCGCGCAACTACCACCAGTCTCGTGTGGGCCAAAGGTACTGCGAGGGTCGGTAGATTTCCTACGCAGCCTCGAATCCGCGACCTCAGGACTACAAGCCGGGCTAGTGATACCTGAGGCCATGGGTCGGCTGCTCTGGTAACAAACGTAGCGGTACGGGTACACGTTTGTCTACTTTACCGAAGTATTTAATATAACATGTTTAGCAAATTCTACCAGGGTATACCTTGACAAAAATGTTTAGGTTTTCTGTTTCTTTCCTACTTAACAAATTCTGCTACGACTGTGCTACCAATAAAAGCTCGTATGCTGCTCGGATTTATAAGACTATCCAGTGAGGCCGCGGTGCTTGAATGCCCGCTACCACCCACTGATTGGTCGACATTTGGTGGTCCCATTAGGCAGTCCGCGTTTCGCAAGGACGGATGACTAAGGACGGTTAGTTCCTTAACATCTTTGACGCGCATCGATCGGGTTTCTAATGTAAACCGCAAACCAGACTGTTCAATAGATCATGACCTTTACCAACTGGTTCATACGTCATGGGTCACCAATATCATTGACTACAAACATGGATGAAATCTTAGCCTGACACGCCAGCGTCATTGCCTCATCGACTGAGTGGGGTGTTTATCGACTGCGGTTCATCCGTTCTTCCACTTATTTGGATGCCTGCTAGTGTCAGTGTTTGAGTGGATGGATAGCTGTATGCGAAACATCATCATGCGATTACCCAAAAATGTTTGTTTTTGCTACTGTTCAACATCATTTGCGTTCTGACGGCGTTCCGACCTCATTCGGTTTCTTTCATGACCTTATAGTTGTGCTGTTTTTCGATTTGACAGACCGACCCCCAAACTTATCCTCCGTCTATGCAGCTGATCTTTCCTTACCTGTTTGGTATCCGTGAACCGATTAGTTTGTGCATCTGATCGCAACTAGTGTAATGCAAATCGCTATGCAATCCTGTGTGCTAAACATGCCTTCTCCGGTTACAACACCAGGTTTACAACCGCTGATCGATTATTCATTCAAGGAACTCATGCTCAGTTCCTTCAGGGTCCAATATCTATCAATCGGCACTTGTGAGAGTGGACCATTAGGCCACTGGACCCATCACTACAACCACTAGGTTGAGTCAATTGCTGTTTGTTGTGGGAACGCACGTTCCCACATAGGTCGCGTCGACACTCCTCCTTTCGGGTTTGACACAAACGTCACCGTTCCCGTTGGAAATCACATGTTCCACGTTAAAACTCCGCTTTCCCCCGCAACCGCATACCGTTCTGGGCGAAAGTCACTTACCACCAGCCTCGGTATTGAGCCGAAGCTGTATGACATTATGTTCACCATTTCCCACATCAGTAAACTGCTCTTACAGACCATTCTTCCCTCATTTCTCTCGTACACGAGTTCGTTGTGTGGTTACCTTTCGTTTTTGCGCCCTTGCGACGTCCAGTCCGCTAAGATCGTGTCGTTCGTTCCGACTAGGAACGCTACTGTTTGTCAGGATCTCCCTAGCAATGCCTCTCGTTCCAGTAATATTTTCCTATATATGTACTCCCACTTTTTCACACCAGGTTTCCAATTGGTTCGGAAACAAGCGCATCCGATACAAAAAGAACATTGTCAAAGCACAAGAGGAAGCCAACATGTATGCCGCAGCCACTGCAGCTGCAGCCGCCGCCGCGGGCTCAGCTCCCTCAGTTCCGGGATCAAATGCAGCGGACGACGTGAGTTTTCACCTCTCCTTGATTCTAAAACGTCTCACTCAACTCCGTTCGCAAATGTATCACGCTGTTCTGCCTCTGTTGATGATGGCATCCTTGTCTGGTGGCCGGCGCGTCGAGTCCTACTCAGTTACGTTATTTGTGTGAATCTGTATGACCACCGTGAGAAATCCCACGATTGCTTAACCACCAACAGTTGCTCCATCATGGGTTTTCTCTTTTTCCAATTAACTATCTACAATGGAGTACTGTGAGGTTTAAGGCTAATCGGTCGCCTCACGTGGGATCTCAGCCAAGGCTTTGGCTCGTTACTTTTGCTTAGCCTTCCGTTTTTTGTACCTCCATCTCATTCGACATGTGATACTCATTGAGCTTACCCATAAACCGGCATGGGGTTTTACAGTGTTGTGGATTCTTTCGCCCCGGTTGAGACAACTCGGTCACAGCAAACGGTGCTAACGAGGACATACTGTGCCGCTGTTGATGCTGGCCATCATTGAATAGCCATTCAAAGTGTTCGACGGATCATGTGTATCAAGACAGTATAAACTTTATGTACCCAAATGCGTGCATTTTCAGCATTTTACCTTATCAACTGTAAATTACTAAACGGGTACCATCAAAAATGCTGTTTACAAATGGGTGGGAAAATGAGAATCGTGCACTGTCATAACTCGATCGAGTAACGATCCCAAAACGCTAAACTAAATCGTCGGGATTTTGCATCCATTCAAAACGGAGAAGGTTTCGTTAAAACCTCTCTTTCACGAGGTAAAAGTTTGTGTCTGTATGGATCGTGCGCGATATCCCGTCGTTTACATTCGAAAGGTGGATAGAGCATATTGGTCTCGGTGACCTTGGAAGTTGATTGAACAAAATATCTGTCGGTTTATTCTTAGAACACTGATATATTTACAATACATAATGTAAGAAATGATGTTCGACGATAAAGGCAACGGCCGATTTAAAGGCCCAATCCGTTTCTCGCTCTGAACACTGCACACCACTTTTATTCATGGTCAGATTTCAGATTACGAATCTCATTCCAAGCACACAGCAAGTGCTTCAAAACTCAACAGCGTACGGCGATGGGTGGACAAAACGCCCTTATGCTTGTGGCATGGATCGACAAAACTGTTGATGTTGTTCATATAGGGTCAGAGGTTGGATGTGTAACACTTCACTGCGGTCGATGTTATTGTCTAGAGGAAAGCCATACGCCCACGGATTTGTTGAGTAGTAGTCGTTTTTGTCCGCCCGCACTTGGTATCTGGCGACAATCACCGCAACGGGTTTTCATCTGATACTAGTGCTCAATGTTGGCTAGGCCACATTCTTCTCATCTTTGTGGACTGTCCACTTGGGCGTGATTCATTCATCAACACTGACTGTGTTCCATTGGGTGAGATCCGGATGTGATCTGCCGATGACGGATGAAATGCTTGGCTGTAATGGCGATTGCCATCCTACGTCGATGGAGACCATGAG